CGCTGCAGTGTCCAGGGATTCTGCTGAGGGGGCCGGGATGTCAGTGGAGAGGGCTGCATAGCGGTTTGCCAGACTCAGGACATGGGCCACGGCGCAGGATGGCTCCTCGGAATCCGCGGGCTCGTTATTCGGAACCGGGCGCTTAGGTGTAGAACAGGAGGGTCCGGAGCTGACGGATCTCTCCCACACGACAGTGTCACAATATGCAGCGCTCAGTGACATAAGCCGTGAATGCTGCCCACCAGCGACTTCAAAAAGTTTGGACACTAGAGATTGTTTCTCATTCAACTCTGCGGTGAGACGAAGGACTTCTTTTCGTAGTTCTGCAATGGTGGCACGGTCGCTCTCACGGAGCTCCAAGGTGAGGCGACTAATATTGTGCATGTTTGAGCCAATTTCATCGTCACTTTCCATGTCCTCGTTAGCTTGTGTTAGCCTCTGTGCTACTAGTGGGTTTCAGTCGGGACTAAGCGCTATTTGCTGAAACCACTGAATTAATAAGATAAAACACTCAGATATATTAAAAAACTGAACAATAAAAACGCGCTAAAAATTTGTTAAAAGTTTACTAAAAAGGTGCACAGAGCAGCCCCTGCAGTACTCCATTAGACATTTTATGATGCGCAAATTCAAATTTCGAAATTTGATGCTCAATGGAAACGCAGCTAGTTCAAGTTCCAACTGGCAATTTTATTGTCAGTGAATGCAAAAATCTTAGTAAGGTGAACAATTTTGAGTTGTCGTTTTTACAGTGCACCAAGTTAGAGTGAGGTCAACTTATCTGCGCATGCTCAATGTGTCATGGCAACTGGCTGCAACTAATTTGACCAAATAAATCATTGTATTTATTTTTACCAACCGTAATCGTAATCGACAGGGCCAAGCCAAAGTAGCCCAATATATTTCCTGGGTCTGTGTTGTAGAATGTTTTAATTGTAATCAAAGGTCACTGTGCCTGAATGCAGTTCTTGACAGAAACTAAACTCTAATTGAGTTGCATTATTGCTTCTCAATCTGCGAGATCTAGAGTTCAGGACCTTAAGACTAATATATGACTGTCGAATGAGCTTATATTCTTAAGTTCATGGCATTTATAAAACTAAAACGGAATAGTACAAACAATATGTAAGTTAGTCTAGTGAGCTAATTAGGGTTAATAAAGACTGTGTTTAATGAACTTATATTGTTATGTTTATGGTATTCATAAAACTAATCTTTAAAGTAAAGTAAAAGAGAGAAGACAAAACTTTTACATGATTTGTATCAATGTGCATAATAGAGACGTCATCCCTTTTCATACTAAAGCGACGCATGCTTAAGATGCAGATACTAATAACAATGTGGGTCAGAGCAGTCTATGGTCAGAACAAGCACATTCAGGTCTTCACACAATTATGTTTTTGCAGTAATACAGATTTATTATATGACTTGGATCGTACGCGCGCTCTGATTGGCTGATTACCGGTCTGATATTTTCCCATCTCGAACCGTTACCATGACAATTAGTCCGAACAGCGCGTATCACATTTGATATCTTTCCTCGGACCGTTACCATGACAATCTGTCCGCAGCGCGTATCACACAAAACCAAGTCGGACATGAACATACTTCACAAATATCTCAAAAGCATTGGTAAAGACACAGACGAGAGTCATATAATAAAACATTTATTAACCTCGCTTGCTCGGTCTGTACGGAGAAATATCAGACCTTGGCCTTTTTGCACAGACCTCGCCAGGGCCCTCAGTGTAGGAAGGAGCGCTACCGCAGGGCCTTTATCCCCACTGCTGTCAGACTGTACAATAAGTCACTTTAAATGATCACTGTGTGAAAACCTGCACTACTATTGACACTGTTTCCAATTGACACTTGTCACTTTTGTTGTACATAATTATTGTCACTTTATTGTACATATATCCTGCATGTAACATGTTTGCACATTTTCTCCTTTTGCACAATCTATCCATGCCAAATGTGACACGTAAATTTCTCCTCTGTGAGATAAATAAAGCACATATTATCTCTTATCTTATCTTACATGTACTGAAAAGGGATAAGAAAAGCGGTAACTTACAGTCATTTACACACAGGGAGGAGCTCCACCATGCCAGTCTGACAATTAGCAATGAAGCACTCTGGTGGAGCTCAGGGGACAGGTGAGACACAGAGGTGGGGACTGATGCAGAGCAGTGGGTGGGACCAGTCAGTGAGGCGATTTTCTATACTATTTGGGTTGATTGATACTTAAATCAATATGAACTGTATCAAGATAAATATTGAACATTGTCCATAAAAGGTCTACTGTATACAATATATACAAAAATGTAAAAGAAAAAACCGGGGGGGACACTCTTTATTTAATTTTTGTTTTTTTTTTTAAATCTTATCAGCCCCTTCTCCCCTCTGCTCCTTAACTGTTGACATCAAGAAAAGGTAAGTGAGAAGTCAGCAGGCGGAGGCGTTGAATTCCGACGCACCCTTCTCTCGGCTTAGTTTTTTTTTTGTCGTTGTTGTAAAGATTTGTTGCATCATTGTGAAAATGAAGATTTATAATTTTATATTGAACATTTCTTCCAATAAAATATTTTTAAAATAATGATAATCGTTCGATCTAACGCCTGAAAGGGCACGTGACGAGGTCACGTGTTCAGTGACGCTCGGAGAAAAACAACTCTCTCCTCTACTCATCTGACGCACGGCGCTGAAAGCAGGAATAAAAACAACACTATTTATTAACAACAACGGCAACAGCGTGGTAGGTTTCTCAACTGTGTGACCCGGAACATGGAGTGTGTTTTTAGATGATCCACGATTGAGTGAATGAGTTTTAGCTTAGCATCTGTGTGTGTGTTAGCATATCACAGACATGGAGGGATGCTGCTGCTGCCTCTGAGATGGAGACCTTAGGGCTGCTATGTTATATGACTATTATGGATGACACAGTTTGTATTTTTTGTATCGACTTCGATCATCCAAAGAACAATTAGTTGATGATCATTATTATATAGTTATTATACGCCACAACGATATCGCTGACAGGCACATCTTTCTATTTTTTACCAATGACACTTATGGCAGTATCACGAGTAGCAAGCGTAGCACTTGTTATCTCACGTTGGAACCCCAAGGCGTTCCCGGGTTAGTTCAGTAAGCGTCTTCATCAGAGGTGTCCTTCTTGTGGGAGATGTTTGTGTGTATTCCTCAAGGAACGCCTCTTGGAGCTACCTCAAGAGAAGAAATGTAATGGTTCTGGTGCCTCAGCTGGAGGAACACTAAAAACATATTTAAATTCTCCGACCCATTTGTTGAGACAAATGCCCACAACTTAGGTCTGTGAAAGGCGCTATATGAATAACATTTACTTACTCACTTAAAGGTATATATGCGGATTTTCTACTTCTGAGTGGATCATCAAGACTATTGGTTCTCCCAAGTGCTATTTATTCTGGTGATATGTGCTCGTATCACCAGAACCAGAGAGTTTTGTTCAAAAAGTGGAGTGGTCGGTTTTTCCCTTATCCTTCAGTTAACTTGGTCCTCCAGATTTGGGTGACAAATTATTGTGGGAACAATTTCTGCTTCTTCATTATTATTAAGTTCTAAGATCATTGTGGTAAAGGCATGGACCTGGACGTCAGTCATTTCCACATTGTCTATCTATCCAGAGACTTCCTGTAAATATCATGACACAGCACACTAGCAGCATCACTCTGCATCAGACTGACTTATATTGGTGAGGAAATGTTATGGCCTCACAATTGAAATATTGTTGTAAAGTATGTGTCTTCGGTGCATTTGAACAAAGAAATGTTTACGTGGATGTGTGATGTTATTTAGTCCTACATAGTTTTGTACCTGGCAAAGATGAAGCCCAACTGTATATAACATAGAAGTAATAGATCTAGTGTATGAGTCCAACCTCAGGCTCGACCCTTTTCCAGTTAGAATTGCTTGCTTGCAATTGACATCACGTCCGCCTCATTACATATGCGTATCACAAAGTGGTGGTCAGCCGAGCTAGTTGTTCACTAGAGCAGCGTGTCTGAATATGCCTTTTGCGTGTGTTGTTTTAAGTTTTCTAACCGATCGAATCGTGAAACCTTTAATGGATACTTTAGGATTCCTTGTGAAGAGACTTATAAAGAGCCTCGCACTCAGGACTTTACGGAAAGACGCAGGAAAAGTGGCGCGCTAACATACAATTCACTAGAAAACGCTTTTACCTCGAAGGATTATTTATTTACCCAGCCATGCAGTCACAATGCACAGTTATTACATCCCCATCTTTATTTAATGAACTTTCAGGTATGATTTGGCGTTTTAAATAATCACTGTGAATGTTTGACCTGAAAAGAACACAGCCACAGACGCAGTGTTTTGTTGAGAATGACAAGTTCATACCAATCGTTACTTACACGGCTCTGTATGATGCAGGATTTGTCCTTCAGGACCTTAACTCTTAAGTTCTTAAACCCACAGACAGACGGAAAAGTTGCAGTATCCGTGTTTATCCAAACCTTCTTTTGTTTAGCAGTGCAAAAGCTTGATTGTAACACTAGCTCCTGGATTAGAATCTAAAGTGAAGAAAACGACAGTCTAGGATCTTGTCTTTAATTCAGACAGAAGACATGTTTTATTGTCGATGGTAGAGGCAGCATAAACAAAGACGTTACAGAATGTAAGTGACATACAGCGGAGGAATGGAGACTTATTAGCATTATTAGCATGTTAGCATTTACCGCGGTGCCAGTAGCTTCAACCTTGATATTACCAAAACATGTTCACCACAGTAGCTTCAAAGTGTCATGAAATATCCAAAAAAGCAAAGAAATACTCGGAAGAGTCGCATTTTCTTCTTATATCAGCAGCAACTCTTGCTGGCCTGACCACCACTTCGTCAACCGGAAGTTTATGCGTCACATGATTGCAAGCAAGCAATAGAACATATTTGTGAAGTGAAAGAAAATGGATTGTTTGGTTTTCCAGATGTTGCTTTTAAAATGGAGTATGATGAGAGGCTAGCACATTTTCGACAAACCCGACTCAATCCCTTTGATCGTGGAGAGGAAGATTATGACCCCCAAGATGGAAAGCCTGCTCCAGAGCAAGGTATGTGTAGAAAATGTGGGTTTGTTTTAGGGTTGGGCGATATGGGCCTCAGCCTGTATCACGATTTTTGTTGGTATGTATCACAATATGACGATATGATAATTATTATTATTTTTTTAATAATGTGTTTATTGACATTTTAAATTTTACATAAACATACATAAAAAAGACAATAAACAGAATTAAAAAGTGAGTAAGTCAATAATGCAAAACCAAACACACAAACAAACAAACAAACAAACATTGGCCCAAACAAAAATAAATTTCACATCAGAATGCGAATGCCCGTTTGACAATAGCGGATAACTCCAGTCCAACATATATTAGGAAAGGCTCCCAGGTCTTACGAAAGACCTCGTCCTTATGATACAGTCGACAAGTCAGATGGTCAAGGGAGATGTAGCCGAAGACAGTTCTATGCCATTGTGTCCTTGTGGGAATCTGGTCCGAAATCCAGTTAATCAGCAAACATTTCCTGGCAGAAAAAGTAAGCAATCTATACAGTTTCTTATGGTATTTGTCTTTGATAACAGGGTCAGTCAAACCAAGCAACAAAAACAGAGGGTTACAGTTCAAATTAAGAGAAAATATTTTTCCCATTTCCTGTCCAATCACTTGCCAAAAATGTTTTGTTTTAACACAGGACCAAAAGCAGTGTGTAAGGGTACCTATCTCAACTTTACACTTCAGGCATAGTGGAGAGGAGTCAGGCTTAAACTTGTGACGTAGGTACGGAGAGATGTGGGCTCTATGGAGAATCATAAGCTGAGTTGCTCTTACTTTATTACAAACACACAGTGTTTTCACATTACCTCAAATATTTTCCCAATCATCCCTGGTAATAGCACAGTCAAGCTCCTTTTCCCACAGCTCCCTCAAGTGCGTAGTGCTCACGGGTGAAAGCCCTTTAAGGATGTTATAAAATATCTTAATAGAACCAACTGATTTGTTTAATGTGTCTCTCAGTGTCTGAAATATCCTGAAATGTCAAATCTGCAGTATTGTTTCGTATGAAGTAGGGATGTAAATCGGCGACCGTTTAACCGGTGGTTGACCGTCACAGCGTTAACCGGTCAAAGCTGTCGGTTAAAAAAGAGAAAAAGGGGAGAGGGGAGGTCTCTTAATAACGCTATTTTAAGCCCTATTTGCACGGTGTGACGAGCGGGCCTGTATCAAGCTGTGTGCGCCAATGTATTATAAACTCCGGGACGACTCTCACGCCACACAAGCCACATATGCACACACGCGCGCACACACACACACGCGCGCACGCGCACATACACACACACACACACACACACACACACACACACACACACACTTTCCCCCTCTCCATACGTAACATCCACACGCATCATCTCTCCCCTCTGTTACCGTCAAAGTTGCACACTGGCGCGGGTCAGAACTACATTGGAGCTTACATTTACACACACACACATATACATACACACACACACATACACACATACATACCGGTCTGTCGCGCTCCTCTGTGTCACGGAGCCCAAAGGATTCGCGCAGATACGCGGCTCCAGTCAAACCACATGGAACATGTTTGTGTTTATGGTCCTCGGGATCAGCTCCACACACATCACTTGTATTTAAACTTTTGTGAAGACCTGTGAGACGCGGCTCGTCACTCGCTGATCTGACCATGTGGACGAGCCGTCGTTTGCTGCTAGAAAGTTTTGGTATTAACCCGCAGCACAGCAGAATGGGAAGATTAAAAAAGCAGTTCTCTGTGCGCAAAGGTGCCGGAGCTGTTGCGGGTTTGGGCGACGCTGTCTCAACTCTGATCCAGTAGAACGCAGAGCTGCACTTATGAAAAGTACGTGGCTCGAAATGGCTGTTATTTCAAAGAACGTGGACTATTTTAAACTACGCGGTTAACCGGTTTCAACCGGTTAATGAGGCTCGGTGGTCGGTCATGAAAATTCATAGTTTTTTACATCCCTAGTATGAAGTCCCTCACCTGCAAATACTGGTAAAAATCACTCCTTGAGATGTCATACTTTCCAAGTAGCTGATCAAATGACATAAGAGTAGGTCCTTCAAACAAATCCTGCAGTTTAGATAACCCCTTATGTGCCCAAATTTGAAACCTGTTATCAAACATACCTGGCACAAACTCTGGATTTTTCCATATAGGCGTGAGACAAGAAATAGTATTTAACCGTCCTTCTAGCTTTCTAACCATTCGCCATGCATTAGCTGTTGCGAGAGTAATGGGATTGGAACAAGCTAGCTTTAAGGATCTAGTCTTTCAAAGAAATAATACATTTGCTAATGAACATGTAGACATAGAGCTTTCTATATCTATCCACAATGACGTGGGTTTGTTATGCACCCAATCAGATATGATGCGCAAATGTGTGCTAATTTGGTAATGTTTAATATCTGGGAGATCAAGACCTCCTTCAGCTGAAGGACGGCACAGCATAGCTATCTTAAGTTGTGCTTTTCTTTTAGACCATATAAAGGAGCTGAACCAGCCATTTAATTGTTTAATTACTTTGCGAGACAGCAAGACAGGAACCATCTGTAATGGGTAAAGTAGCCTAGGAAGAACATTCATTTTTAATAGTGCGATTCTGCCCATCCAGGAGAGAGGAAGCGCATTCCATCTCTCCAGATCGAGCCGAATGCGGTCAAATAATGGGGGGAAGTTAGCTTTATACATACATTCAACTTTAGGTGTTATACGTATTCCCAAGTAAGTGAAACCCTCCGGAGACCACTTGAGGTCAAAGGGCCCAGAGGCATAGCCTCGGATTTGGTGAAATTAATCTTGTAACCTGAAAAACTACTGAAAGCATTAATTATCTCAATGAGGCACGGAATTGATGTCTCTGGGTTTGTTGTAAAAATTAGAACATCATCAGCATAAGAGTAGTCAGCAGCAGAGTAATTTTATGCTCCCTATTGGCAATCCTGAGGCCATTTATACTGTCATTCATCCTGATGACCTCCGCCAGCGGCTCTATTGCCAAGGCAAAAAGCAGCGGTGACAGACTAGTTCCTCTAGAAATAGCAAAGTAGGGAGAGCGTAGTCCATTTGTAAGTACTGCCGAGAGAGGATTTTTATACAGGATTTTGATCCAGTTTATAAAGGTAGCTCCCATGCCGAACTTATTCAATGTGTAGAAAAGATATGACCACTCTACGCGGTCGAAGGCTTTCTCTGCATATAAAGAGAGCACCAGACCACTCCTTGAGTGGTGTTGAAAATGTTGAATTGTATTAAGTAGCCGGCGCATGTTGTTATGAGAACTTCGACCTTTTATAAATCCAGTCTGGTCTTCATTAATTAAGATGGGCAGTAACTTTTCAAGCCGTATTGCTAACAATTTAGACAAAATTTTCATGTCGACGTTTAGTAATGAAATAGGTCTATATGAGGCACATTCTTCTGGAGCTTTACCTTTTTTCAGAATCAAGGAGATGTCTGCCTCCCTCAGGGATTGGGGTAGTGTACCTTTAGCCAGGGAGTCATTAAACATATCCGACAGAGGATCAATTAATAGGTCATGAAATTCCTTATAAAATTCCACACTAAGTCCATCCGGACCAGGGGATTTCCCAGATTGTAATCCTTTAATTGCATTAAGTATTTCTCTTTTTGATATAGGAGCATCAAGAGCGGTTTTCTGATCCTCCGATAAACAAGGAAGGTTCAAAGTAAGAAAGAAATCATCCATTAACCTGAGGGATTCAGGTTGCTGCTCAGACTTATATAGTTTTCCATAGAAGTTTTTAAATGTGTTATTGATATTTAAATTGTCAAAGGATTGTTTACCTTGGTTATCAATAATTGAGCCAATTGTTTGAGAATCAGCCTTTTTCTTAGTTAAATATGCTAAATATCTCCCTGATTTGTCGCCACTTTCATATAATTTTTGTTTTGCGAATCTGATCTGGTTTGATGCTTGCATCGTCAGAAGTGAATCTAAGGCACATCGAAGTGCAGACATCTCCTTAACCTTCTGTGAAGATGGCCGTTGGCCACATTCTCTCTCGGCACGCTTTAACTTGGACTCAAGAATTTTTTGTTGCTCAGCCTGTCTTTTCCTTTTGGTAGACATATAGGATATAACAATACCCCGGGAAAAAGCTTTGGAGGTTTCCCATAATAATGACGAGTCATCAGTCGAACTTGAGTTAGTGGCAAAGAAGACCTTAAACTCGTCTCGAAAATATGGGGAAAACTTCTCCTCGGTCAATATAGATGAGTTAAATTTCCAACATCTTGTTCGGGTAGACCGGTGAGATAACCTGTATTGTAAAAATACAGCTGCATGGTCAGAGACACCGATTGGACCTATCGGACAACAAATAACTGAATGCAACAGAGATCTGGGAAGTAAAAGATAATCAATTCTAGTAGATGACTTTGAGACATTTGAGAAAAATGTATATTCTTTATCAGAGATATGCTGCGCTCTCCACACATCAGTATAATCCATGTCTTCACAAAATGCATTAACATACTTGGCAGAGTAAAGAGGAAAGCGATAGACTACCAGGTGGAGATTTGTCTATAATAGGATTAAGATGGCAGTTAAAATCACCTCCTATAATTGTATGTTTGCTACCAAGGTTAATAACCTTGGTAAAAGCGGAGGATAAGAGATGTGTTGGGTAGCCAGGTGGATTATACACATTTAATATTGTAAGTTCTTCACCAAAAAATAATACCCCTCAGGATGATATAACAACCTGATCTGTCCTTTATAGAGTCAATAAGTTTAAAAGGAATACCTCTTTGTATCAAAATTGCCACACCCCGGCTTCTTGATGTGAAAGATGAAAAATAAACTTCACTAAACCCCCCCCTGTGTAAGTTTTAGATGCTCAATGTCATATAAATGTGTCTCTTGCAATAAGGCTATTTGTACACGCTCCTTTTTAAGATATTTTAAAACCTTTCTACGTTTTTATTGGCGAATGTATCCCCTTGACATTCCAAGTGCACAATTTAAGTCCCGACATAAATATGGTTA